CTGCGTTTGCTGCTAAAGATAGGGACTGTGTGCTTATGGGAGTGTCCTGAGTGATGTGATGTCGATTCCTGAAAAAAACATTGTGGGGATAAACATGGGCCACTGCCTCCTCGGCAAAAAAGATTTCGTAAAATTCGACTAATCAGGGGTTAATCGGAATTAGATAAGCTGGTCTGACAATCGCACCCTAGCTGTAAACCACAACACATGATGCGCAATAACGTTTCCCGGGCTGTTGTACCATGATTTCTAAAAGGCTCAGCTCTGAAACTATCACATTTTTCCAATAGTTCACATTCCTGATTCCCTCCTGCCCTTCCAATGCAACAAAGTCCTTGAGTTTGTAGATCAAATAAAACTGCCCCTATACCTGTATCATTCGTGTTCCGCCTGTACACGTCTTTCTATTGCATTAGAGGTCGACCATCTGTAATTCACTACAGATAATGTCCTTAGGAACTCAGCCATTTCCATGGCGTGTATGCGTGGCATCCTGATTGCTGTGGTGCGCCTCTTGGCTGGTTGCCTCCGACTTCAGCACCTTGTTTTGCTAGGGTAGACTGTGATCATACTCGAGGAGAGTAGGCTCATCCATTCGTCTTTCGCCTTTACCTCGTTTGTTGTCCCATCCAGTTTCCCGCTGGGGGTTGAGACCCCAACCTTCAACTGGATTGCTGGGAAGAACAGGGTCCACCACGTGAAGGTGAGGTAGGCTTGAGCAAGAGAGGCTAATAGACATTAAGAGTCTTGTATTGCGCATCATTGCTCCATTAGGACCCCTAAATAAAGTATACAAGCAGAGCATACTTCCACACTTGGAATATGGGTCAACTGCATGGTGTTCAGCATCTAGTACCATATTAAAGGAGTTAGACAAAGTGCAAAATCAAGCGCTCAGAGTCATCACAGGAGGGATGAAATCAACCCCCATATTAGAAATGGAGAAAGCTGGGAAAACACAGGCACTGAGAGAACGCAGAGATACAATGTTGCAAATACAAGCTGAAAAGTTCCCCCGTATGCCAGATCACCCGATGGAAAATAGATTTAAGAACCTAGCCTTGGGACGGTTAAAAAGAAGCAGCTTTATACACCAAGCAAAAAGAATATGTAGACAAACTCCTGACCTTCCATAAATTGCTTGCCCACTTAAAAGTATTCCGGAACAAACCCCATGGAGAGAAAAATGTAAACTAACGGTACAAATCCAGACAAATGTGAAAGGGATATTTGACAAGAAAGAGCAAGATAGTGTACAACTCAAAATGGCCACCCTCAGTTATATTGATGAAGAATACCCACAAGAACAATGGGTCAGAGTCTATACAGATGGGTCCGCAGAAAGTGCAGTTAGAAATGGTGGTGCTGGAGTGTACATCGAATTCCCAGATGGTACTAGGGATAAGTCCAGCGTACCAACCAAGAAGTACTGCCATAACTACGATGCAGAAACCCAGGCTATCAAGATAGCTACAGAGAAACTGCTAAATACCAACCTTGGCTCACATTATGTGGTAATGCTGACAGATGCTAAATCAGTACTTGAAGCACTCCCGTCTAGGAAACTACCAGAATTGCAAACACTGCTGACACAACTCAGCGTTCAGCGAAGAGCCTTAATGCAGTGGATACCGTCTCATTGTGGAGTGCCTGGAAATGAGAAAGCTGATCAACTGGCAGGGGAAGGTGCGACAAAAGAGCAGCCGGATGTACCAGTCACATACCACCAAAAGAAAAGAATCATTAAATCGATCAGGAAACCACCAGCCCCAGCACAAGACGACTATTTCATTATGGACAGATCAGAACAAGTCATTATCCTCCGCCTCAGAACAGGGCACAACCGATTACGTAACCACATGTACACAAAATTCAAGATAGGTGTATCAGCCATGTGCACCTGTGGAAATGTGCCCCAGACCGCAGGGCATGTACTCCAGGACTGCACCGAATTTGACACATTAGGGCAGACCTTTTGGCCAGAAAGAACAACAGTGGAACGTAAACTCTATGGACCACTGAATGAACTAACAACGACAGTGAAATTTATACAAGAGACAAAACTGCTGATATAGACAACTTATTTAAGGCGAACGAAAGAAGAAGAAGAAGACTCAGCCATTCTTCATTCTCCAGGTTTGACCCAGCCACGTGAACCCTCTGTGACTCAGCAGTGAGACAAATAGTGTGATACCTGTTTTTTTTTTTTTTCCAATACCTCATTGTTTGTGATCTTGTCCTGCCACTTAGTGCCAACGAATCTTCTTAGGCATCGCGTGTGAAAGCTGTTTGTTTAACCATTTCTCCTAGTACGAATAAGTTGAACAGTTTTACTACAGAAAAGAGGAATGTTAAGAACACGAGACTGATACATCGAGCTTTTATTTAATTCATACCCGTTTGCTATGAAGCTGAAACTAGGATTACCAGATTACCAGATCAGCATAATTTAATTTCCATTAATGTCCTCAAACATTTTGTCCACATATGAGTTTCATTTTCCTTCATCTCTTTAGTGGATCTCCATCGTTTAATGCTGCCAGCTAAAGGGAGAGAGAAAAAACAAACATGCATAAGCATTTGAAATTATTTCATTTATTATTAAACTTTTCTTTCTGGCTTAAAATAAATTATTTTGCCTCAGAAACAGAGATAAAAGACTCACGTAAAATGTAACGCCTATGATGTAAAATATTTTAGAACAACTTTCTTCTTCTTCTTCTTCTTCTTTTTCTTCTCTTCCACCTTGTACCTCATCGAAGTGTCAGGGAGAGAGAAATGTAACATTCGTTGATAAGCTCTGTCATTAGCACTATGAAGACTGATGTTCATTTCTGTAAGGCTGTTCTTAATGCCATCTCTCTGTGTTTTCTGAGGTCTTCCACTCGCTCAATACCCGTTGTAACGTTTTAGTATTGCTCTCTGTGGCAGATAGTACCAGAGCATTTTAGTTAGGTGTCCAAACCACTTCATTTGTTTTACTTTGATGACCTGAAAGACTTTATTTCTAGCATTTGTATGATTTATTGATTTCTTATGCTTTCTTTCCTTGAAACTCCTGCAACTCTTCTAAGGCATTTCATCTCCGTTGTCATAATTTTACATTTATTTGAGGATGTAAATGTCCACGTTTGGCACTGATAGCATAGTGTTGGCCAAACAGTGTTCTGATAAGATTCACTGTAGTACTCCGGGTTATCTGCGTGTGTGTCAACAGGGGAGATAGTTGCCCCATTATATGATTATCTTTGCCACTGTTATAGTTCTGATAAGATTCACTTTAGTACTCCGGGTTATCTGCGTGTGTGTCAACAGGGGAGATAGTTGCCCCATTATATGATTATCTTTGCCACTGTTATAGTTCTGATTAGATTCACTTTAGTACTCCGGGTTATCTGCGTGTGTGTCAACAGGGGAGATAGTTTGCCCCATTATATGATTATCTTTGCCACTGTTATAGTTCTGATTAGATTCACTTTAGTACTCCGGGTTATCTGCGTGTGTGTCAACAGGGGAGATAGTTGCCCCATTATATGATTATCTTTGCCACTGTTATAGTTCTGATTAGATTCACTTTAGTACTCCGGGTTATCTGCGTGTGTGTCAACAGGGGAGATAGTTGCCCCATTATATGATTATCTTTGCCACTGTTATAGTTCTGATTAGATTTACTGTAGTACTCCGGGGTACCACTAACTTAAACTTACAGGATCAAAGATGCGCTCACTCAAAGGCCATTGAGAAAAATATGCCCGTAAACAGCATCTTGTCTTGGAAATGGAAATACAATGGCGATATCAAACGCCGCATGGACTGGACAAGTTCAGTAGCGGAGAAAACGGTACTGGCAAAGCCAACCTAGGGCCGAAAACCACTGAAGTGAGCACAGTACATTAGAGATAGCTTGGGGAGGACAGTGTATAAGCCGAAAGAGCCAGCAAGGGGTCGACTTACTGCGAGCTGTGTTGTGATGGAAGCTTCATGGTGTAAAGTCTGAAGGAACGACTTCATTGCACCATGAAATAAAATATGGTTTGTTCCTTATATCTCTCTCACTCCATCTCTCCTTCTCTCTCGCTGCAGAATGCGTAGCCGCCTGCAGAGAGCGTCACAAAAAGGCAGGAACGCTTTAGCTCCAGCGACGATCCGAGGATATTCGTTAAAAGACTGCACTCGTGAGCTAAAGACGCGTCAGTGAAAATTCACAGTGGTCACCGAATGTAAACTACGGCCAAAGTCCTGGTTGTTTCGTCCACTTCTAAAATTTTGTCTTGTTCTAGAACTCGCTATTTTGTGCACACACCCGTTTTACACGCCTGTTTTATTTGCATGCAGACTGTTAGTTCCCCTCCTCGCAGTCGGCTGCACTCCGACATTACAAGGAGTCCGTAAAACAAACCCCACCACTTTCTGAACGTGAACTAAACCATTATGACCACTTCGTCACGGACAAATCCCCCCCCCCCTCCTCCTGGGCTGCACTACATGATGAGTCACTCGGGCATAACTGCTAAGATAACTACCATGACTGCGAGGCATGTGAGATGTGCTTCTTGAGAAGAAAGTTGGAAATGCCTGGGACTGCCAGAATAACTTAGAATGATTCCATGGAAATGGCTAATGAAAGTAGAACATTAAATGCAAGCATAGGATGACAAACAAAGTTCTTTGGTCATGTGAGGAGAAAAAGGAGCACTAGAATATATCGTAACGACTGGAAACATCTCTGATAGAAGAGGCGGAGACAAACCAAGAGCAAGGGTGCAGGATGGCTTAAGACAGTGACACGAAAGAATATCATCAGTGAAATTGATCCGCTACTCCAAAGACGGAGATTAGAGGACATTCGTGAACGCCAAAGCCTACCTGCAAGGCACTTGATGATGGTGATGATGATGATGATGATGATGAAGTAGATGATGATGATGATGTTCTTGATAATAATAATGATAATGACACAATTTAAATGTGCAGAAGACATAGACATAGGGCAAACTTACCTAACCATGACCATAGTAGTAGTGAGTAAAAAAATCTCTACACTGTTTATGGTCTTTACGCCACCACTGTGAGTGAACAATGCCACACTTGTAAGCTGGGCAACATTTCCTATCCTCTCCACATACGTCTCCCTTGTCATAGCATGATGGTTCTTCCTTGTTAAATACCTACAATAGAGTCAAATATGATATTTTGATTTCTGCACTCACGGAGAAGGAGGTTTGTCCGTGGTTTGTGAACTGGATAGCAGCTGTCCTGCATTCATGTATGGTAGCCCTTCGCCTGGTTACATGGACTTCAGAACAATGTAATATCCCCCCAGGACTACCCCAGGGTTCTGCAATTTCACCAGTGCTCTTTAATAGGTATACAAACAAGATTGCAGAATCTGAATCACCAGGTGTTGGATGAATATTGACATTTGCCGATGATGTTCTTGCATATAGGCAGGGAAGAGATAGCTCACGAGCTACAAGAAGCTGTGGACAAAATGACTGACTGGAGCGCCGAAAATAGGCAGCTGTTTTGTGGTGTTCTCTGGACAAAAGAATTGTAAAAGCTGGCGTTCCAAACTTTACAGTTTATAACAGTACCATCAAACGAGAAAGCAAACTGTGATACCTGGGTATCATTTTTGATAAAAGCCTGTCCTTCAGGGATCATGTGGATGCAGTAGCAGTGAAATGCCAAAAAGGACTCAATGCTCTCAAGATTATGGCAGCAATGGACATGGAACAAAGAATGTTGTTCACAATGTTCCAGCATATGATCCTGTCGGTGATAGATTATGGACTTGGCATAAGAGACAGCTGATAAAACTTGAATGCATACAGAATGAAACCATTCGGGTGATTCTGAGATGTACAGGAGATATGTGTGTATGTGTGCGATACATACTTGCACTGCCTATTGTTGCAGATAGGCCCAAAGTTCTGCAAGCACAGTCATATCTCAGAGTAGCTGCTGACAAGAGGCACCTCATGCATGAAGTATTGGATAGAGCTAAGGGTCACAGACTGAAGAGAGGAAAGTCTTGGATGGTGCAAGCTGAAGACACAATTCGACATGTGGGCAGGCTCGATAAATTTAGGAGGGAAGAGGGGTGGGTCAAAGTGTCCGATCATGTTCCAGACTTGTGTAGGGTTTTAGTCACTTTGAGACGTGAGAGCAGGGACTGATTAGCTTGCGCTGCAGAATCAGAAGTTCAACAAATGATTCATGACAATTCCCGCCCAAGTGATGTGATCGTATACACAGATGGCTCTGTGGTGACGGGCAGATGAAGTGATTGGGGGTTTATAGCAAAGGCGATGGGAATCGCTTGGCGCAACAAAGGCTGGCATATGATATCACAACGTCTAGTTTGAGAAAGGAGGTAGAGGCAGTCACTGCTGCCTCTCACTGGCTTGAGAATCAGCCGTACACACACGCCGTCATTGTGACTGACTCACAGAGCATGCTGAGACAGGTGGAGACAGGCATGCTCCGCGCAGAGTGGCAAGCATCACATCAGAGGTAGTTAGCATCCTTTGGATATTTTCTCCAGGTAACGCCTGTGTGTTGGGAAATAAGCAGGCAGATAGACTGGCTGGTTCTGCACCACTTGGTGGTGAACTGATGTATGACAAGCTGGATGTTGTGAGGGCCCTTTTGGAGCGAGTAAACAGTGCCGATGAGCAGATAGATCATTACGGTCTGAGGAGAATGGCACTGCGAGGAGTTAAAGTTAATCTGGCCGACGGATCTACAATGAGACTGTTACTGATACCATCCGAATTTAAACTCTTCGTTTGCTGCTGAAGATGCGTATGTATGTATGTATGTATGTATGTATGTATGTATGTATGTATGTATGTATGTATGTATGTATGTATGTATGTATGTATGTATGTATGTATGTATGTATGTATGTATGTATGTATGTATGTAGGTAGGTAGGTAGGTAGGTAGGTAGGTAGGTAGGTATGTATGTATGTATGTATGTATGTATGTATGTATGTATGTATGTATGTATGTATGTATGTATGTATGTATGTATGTATGTATGTATGTATGTATGTATGTATGTATGTATGTATGTATGTATGTATGTATGTATGTATGTATGTATGTATGTATGTATGTATGTATGTATGTATGTATGTATGTATGTATGTATGTATGTATGTATGTATGTATGTATGTATGTATGTATGTATGTATGTATGTATGTATGTATGTATGTATGTATGTATGTATGTATGTATGTATGTATGTATGTATGTATGTATGTATGTATGTATGTATGTATGTATGTATGTATGTATGTATGTATGTATGTATGTATGTATGTATGTATGTATGTAGGTAGGTAGGTATGTAGGTAGGTAGGTAGGTAGGTAGGTAGGTAGGTAGGTAGGTAGGTAGGTAGGTAGGTAGGTAGGTAGGTAGGTATGTATGTATGTATGTATGTATGTATGTATGTATGTATGTATGTATGTATGTATGTATGTATGTATG